GTAGTAAAAAGATCCAGATAGAAAGATGGGCATATGTGTCAATAGTGGGTTTATTATCACAGTCATACATTTAATGATTTATGCATCTTATTTTCCTTACAGAATTAAATGATTTCATTAATTGGCGATGGTTTGAGGTATTCATATGTAAGTATCCTAACTATAGAAAATAAAGCTTTATGGACACACTAAAAGCATACATGAACATACATGTGAAAGTTTATTAATTTCATATATTATTTTAATTAATGAATGTCTTTTTTCCCCAGATCTGGTGATTGCAGCTAATTTTATTTGGATTTTAGTGGAGACAATATCACTGTCAAGTATGTATCAACAACTTTAAAACTTTTCTAGTGCTCTTGTATACTTCTTGTAAAAGTATAGTTGAGTTTTTGTGGTTTGAGTTTTTTATGGTTGAGTTGTCTAAATGTACATGTACTGACACTCCATCAACTGAATATTAAAACTGTAATCTTATTTTCAGAAAAGAACATTGATGTAAAACATTACAACTTTACAATCACGTGGGCTTCCATCATTTTTGTATGCAGTAAGTAATACCACTACTATGTACTTGTCTTTTATTTAGGTCGATGGTGGGAGGGGGGTAAGGCAGTACCAAATCATTGTTTGGGAAATACGCCTTTTTTTAAAAAGCAACTTCAATAAATCATCAAAGCCACTAATAATTTTTTTTATTATATTATCTTTTATTTTCCTTTTCCCTTTTAAATGTTTATGTTTAATCTTGAAATTTGTAATCAGTGCATTATTTTGAGCATTTTATGATGTGCTGTTATTAACCTTTCAGTATACACCTTAGAGGCCTCCATAAAAATTCTTGCCAAGGGTCCACTGGAATACTTCACAACAGGATGGGATGTGTAAGAAACTTGAATTTTAGCTCCTTTATGATATAAAATGCAATGAAATCCCAGTTGATTGGAAGAGGAGTATCAGTTTATCTGTTATCAGATGTGCAACCATAATATCAGATATAAGAAAGCAATTTGATTCAACTGAGTTGTTGGATTGATCATTTTATTGTTATTGCTAGGCTAACTATACAGGGCAAATTTCCCCCTGTTTTTATTTTTGCCCCCCTTAGGTCCTAATCACATTTGAGCAAATGCAAAAATGGGGCAAATTCAAATAACACAGATTTTTTTTTTTAAATAGAACTATGACTTGAAGAATTGAAAGGGGTCGAAATTGTTAGCAAGGGCAAAAGGGTGAAAATAACCCTGTATACAGTACTAATTTTGTAATCCGCCAGTGTTTAATAAATTGTTTTTTAGACCAGCATATATATTTACGAGGGCTGTTCGAAAATTATTGAGACATTGTGTATATTTTGCTTTGTAATGAACGTCTTTCGGTGAAAATTTGCATATACATTTGACATACATTAAGAATCAATAAAAGCAAAACATATTTTACAAATAATTGATATTTTCTGTACAATGGTATATAAATGCCTCATCAGTAGGGGTACCCGGAGCAGCCTCGAAATCGGATATCAAAAATATGTAACACTAACTTTCTAACTCTTCGTGGACCCATAATAAGAGCGAAAATAATTCAGTTTATATGTATAATTTTTCAGCTTTATTTCTAATTCATGTTGTGAAACTTTGTTATAATTTTGATCAGGAATACAAGGCGCACTTGTTTCATAAGCCGGGTCAAGCCGGTTAATATTCCAGAACCGGGCAAGTCACTTGTTTCAAATATATTTAAGCCGCCGGGCGGTCAGAAAGTAGCCCGGATCGCCCGAAAAATTTCGAGCGGCCAAATGAAAAGCAATATGGCGGAAAACGGAGGTAGAAATGTTCTCGATGGTGAAACATCCGTTTTTTTATCATTTGTCGTAGTCTCGGTGTCAATAAACAAACACAACTGAGATAATAAGAGACTTTTACAACATATTTGTTTACATTTGCACAACAAAAAAATTTTTTTTTTAAATTTTAAAGCTGCTTTCCAGTTCTGTGGGTAACGAGACCCTATATGCTTCAAATTCACAAATTGTACATAGAATGGAACTAGTAAATATTAAAACGAAATATATCCACTAAATTGTTGTTCTCGTGCGTTCAGATAATTTTGATAATTTTTTTTTTACAGCAACAGCACCAATACCAGCCAATCCGGCTTATTTTTCACTCGTTTCAGCGACACTAACCGGGTCAATATGCCATGTGATAAAAGTGAACCGGGTCATCGCCCGGCTGTCTGAAACAAGTGCGCCCATTGAGATCATAAAAAAATTAAGCGCGGTAGAGAAATCTGCTAAGACCGAAAAAATGGATTTTGACGTCAAGGGCGGAGCAGCGAACATACCTAACATTTTGTGTAGCGCAATGTAGAACTCTTTTCCAGACTCAATGACCTGCTTAAACTATAACAACGAGAAAAATAATATGTAAGCTCTTGTTATTTCATTGGTATAAATTTTTATTTTTACAATTAATTCAACCACAGTAAAATCAAAAGCTCCAGACGACCATCAAATATAACGTACGGTATTTATATCGTTACGGTATTAATGCCGCGTTGTATTAATCGGCACTGCATGATTTCAAGTCATCTTTTCCCAAAATGAAAATTTTACACTCAGGTAGCAACAACATACATTTTTAAGGAATAGTTTTAGAAAAGAGACTGTTTGATTTTTGTACTGTTATATGTAATTACAAAGAAGGAAAAGTAATAAACGCTTCCCGATCATTTTAAATGCGAAATCACATCTGACTGACGTGACGTTTAATGACGTAGTGATGCTGCTCCGGGTCGATGGACATATGCATATTTATCATTTCATCGAAACTTTTCTTATCATCATAGGAATTTGAAATTTTGCATAAGTGTTTTATTCGTTCTTTATGAAATGTTGATTAATTTTCATGAAATTATCTCCCTCCTTTATGGAGTAAATGTAATTGTCTCAATAATTTCCGAACAGCCCTCGTATTCTGTTATTTTTAAGTTTGATTTCCTGGTGACGGTGACCAGTGTTATAGGTTTACTGGGAGAGTATTTTAATGATTGTTATTTGTAGGTTTGATTTCCTGGTGAATGTGACCAGTGTTATAGGTTTACTAGGAGAGTATTTAAATGATTGTTATTTGTAGGTTTGATTTCCTGGTGACGGTGACCAGTGTTATAGGTTTACTAGGAGAGTACTTTAATGATTCTTTTTTCTACGTCACTGTCCTCAGGCCATTCAGACTTCTCAGGTAAAGGAATGCTAGTGTAATAAAAATTTTAGTTTAAAATATATTTTATTCATTGAATTGAATTGAACAGCAGGCATAAATGCCTATGATCATTCTCTACATAATAAAAAATGTAATGTATATTTCAATGATTTTTTTGCACAGTTCTTAAATATGTATTAAAACTGTACGAGAGGTGATCAAAAAGTTCATGAACTATCTCTATATCTACAAAACCACAATTCAGATTAGAAAAAAATTTGGAATACATATAACCATACACAAGGTCTATAAATAGCATATGCTTAATAAAGTTTTGCTCCTTGTTTGTGATGTCACAATATGAAAATGGCGTCAGTATGTAGGTCACTTGTGAAGAAAAATGGTTGTCTCAGTCGTACTCATTCTACAAATGACTACAATTTATTGTATATCTTCGAAATCCCTTTGCAGAAGCATATGATAATTTGCACAAAGTTTATTAAGTCAAATGACTTCGTATAAATTCAATCAATGCTTGGATTGTCCATTTTAATGAAGGAATTCAGATGGTTTAAAATTACACTTGTAAATGTTATGTTGCTCAGTAAAAAGCAACTTTGAAAAGAGACATGTTTTTAATTAAGCAATTTTTTATCTGTTATCAAAGACCTCAAATTAACACTTTAAACAAAAGTTAGATATTTGAACAATAATATAATTATTAAATACCTAAGATATCGTTTACTACTTTAGATTTTAAACATATTATACAATTATGGACTCTTTTGGTGTTGAATATGTTTTTTTAATCACCAGAAAAATATTCATATTGACCTCGGCTTCGCCTCGGTCAATATGAATATTTTTCTGGTGAATAACAAACCATATTCAACACCTAAAGAGTCCATAATTGTTTTATTATATAGTCGGGATTTGGATATATAAGACATTGAAGGCTGTATGACGACACCATTTTCATTTGCGATCTTCCTTTGTTGAAAATGAAAATGAATCTCCAGATTGCTGTTTGTAACCTCCGTATTCTCTCCGAGTTCCGCTATGTGTAAGACGTCCAAATGTTAAAAAATAATCCTGAAATAGGTTTGAATAATTGTTTTCCTGCTCAGATACGGAGCTTGCTGCGGCCGTTGCAACCATTGTTTACAACGTTGTTCGATGTTTTGATTGTGACGTCACAATGCCGTTGCACGCGCATTGAACCTCCGGTGAATACGGCCTAAAATCCGGTGAATATGTAATGTTATGAACTGTTTGCGTTTGTATAGATTATATAGGGAATATAAATAGACTATATAATAATATATATTAAGTTAAAAAGGAGGCACCCATTCTCTATCCACCTTGAATAAATGTGTCCACCAAGACAGAAGAGTTGGGTTTTGATGGTCGCCATGCTTATTTTCGGAAAGGATATTCTTATCCACCCATTCTTTTGCCAAGATTTGATAATTTCTGACAAATTAACTGTTCTTGTTATAAAAATTAACTTACATGGAAATTAATATAAAACTCAGAAAAATCATTAAGCTTTTGTGGCAGAACGCTAAGGAGGGGGTCACATGACTGCCTATATTATGTGATTCACGTACGAGCAGAAGGTGATTGATGTGCATTACAATCGGAGAGGACTAATTTAAAATAAAATCAAAACTGAAACCAATTATTTTTTGTTTTATTGAAGTTATTCAATAAGTTCGCGAACTTTTTGATCACCCCTCGTATATGAAATGTTGACATATTAACTGAGTAAACAGCAGCAATATCACAAGGATTGAAAATGTAAAATCATTTTAACTTTAATAAATTTATTTTCGATTATTTACCAGGTACATGTATACATGAAAAATTTATTAGTAATACATGTATTATATATAATTATATTGAACGAAAAATTTTGGTTGTTTACTTTATAATTGTTTGACTGATTATTGAATTGTTATTTTATCAGGTTGTTTAAGATGAAGAGAAGTTATAGAGACGTTTTAGGAACTCTGTTTATTCTTTTCTCTAGGCTAATCAGGTAAACATCTCCATTGGGAATTTTATTGATTTATAATTAAATTTATCTATATACATGTATATTTCTAATACATTTTTTTGATTTTGTTTGTTTGGCAAATTTAAAAAAAAATTAATTTGAAAAAATAAATTATCATTTCAAGAAGTGTAAATAATGCAATTCTTTTTTGATATATAATGCTGTTTGTGCTATATTTAGGTTGACCTTGACCTATTTATTTTAGTCTAGTGGTCGTCATTATGCTAGTCTACTATTTCTTCGCCATTATTGCCATGGAGTGCTTCCTGTATGTTGATCTCAAAAACTGCTGCAAGTAAGTTATCAATCACCATCATTCTATTTTATGTAAAGCAATACTGTGTGTATCATATGTTAATCATATAATCGGTTTCATATGAGAATCATAATAAAGGGCATCGTATGTGAATCATATGAAGCAAATCATGAATAAAAAATATTTTCATGCATGGTTAATTTTATTTGAAACCCTATATTGGTAGTCTTTTCCAGTAAATCTCCTTGCAAGATAATAATTGGCTCCTAAAGCACAGAAAATCAAAATTTATTTTATATCATTGTCTCTGAATGAAGTTTTTTGATGGGATGGGGTGGGGGGGGGGGGGGGGGGGGGAGAGGGGAGATAACCATCAAACCATTTTAACTTGTATATATGTCAGTGTACCTAAGTTATTGATTATCTTTGCAGAAACACCAGTGTAGAAGCTTTCTACAAGTTTAGCAACAACACCAACAGTCTGGGATATTATTACCTCAATGACTTCAGTAATATACTCATATCAGGTGGTAAGAATGCTCTGACAGTAATAGTTATGTTTCTTCAAAATTTACCCCTTTTAATAAAAGCCTTTCAACATTTTTAATGCTCTGATATTGATGTATTAATCTCTGTATTCTTATAGTAACATAATTAAGAACCTAAAATTTGAAATATAAATTGACCTACCTGATTTAGTATTCCCTTTTTATAGTGACATTGTTTGAGCTAACAGTGGTCAACAACTGGTTCATTATAATGGTAAGCATAACAAGAAATCATCAGAAATCTGAATCTGAAAAAAAGCAGGTAATTCCAAGTACGTCAGATAAAGTTGTAATGATCTACATAACATGTTTTTTTTCTGCTGTTTATAGGAAGGATTTGCTCATCACACAGGGGAAGTGTCCCGAACATTTTTCATGACATTCTACATTGTTATGATGGTAAGTATACACAAAATCAAATATCATCTCATCTCTATGACATTCTACATTGTTATGACATTCTACATTGTTATGATGGTAAGGGTTAATCATTAGATGTCATCCCATCCTTGATATTTTACAAGTTGAAAAAGAATTCGGTGGACCAATGTTTAAAAAAAATTATGAATTTCATTTTAGAAAAAAGAGAAATCATAATCATAAGGCCATCATAAATTGATCTCAGTAATGACATAAATATGCAATTAAACTGTACTACAAAAATACAGAGTTAATAGCATCACACAGGAGATGGTGAGAATCCATTTGTCCCATGGGAGTAATATTGCAGGACAACTGCTGGGAATGTTTATAGAATTTAAGACTAAATTCTTAATTTCCTTATGCGAAATGGCACAATCAGACAAATACATGTGCATTATATTATAAAAAAGGTATAGATATATTCAGATCTTTTAGTTTTAATACATACATATTATAAGCTACAAACATTTTAATGAATCTATTCTTCGTTGTGAAGCAGTGAACAAAAATTTTCCCAATTTAGACATTTCTTTGACATTTTGAACACTTAACAAGTGTATTAATATAAAGATACTAGGTATTTTAACATAATACTGTTTGATATATTGGATTCTGAGATCTTGGTATACAGGACATTTTAATATAAAATGGAACTCTTCTACATCATTCAAGTCAGGAGTTTCGCGTTTTGTCAATTTGTGGCCATGCCAATGCAGAAACTATGGGACCTATAGTGACCTTGCACTTGGAGAAATGAGAGGGACTTGTCTAAAACTGCCTGAACTTAAGACCTTTAGTGACCTTGCACTTGGAGAAAAGAGGGGGACTTACTTAGAACTGCCTGAAAATGAAAACGGGTAATCGGTGTACCATCTACCGTACATACTCGCCTATAAGTTGGTCCACCTATAAGTCAGTTGCATTTTTAGCTCTTCTGAGCTAAAGGCTCAAAGAGCTAATGCTATGGCCATTTGTGCGGTGTGCGGTGTGCGTCGTGCGGTGTGCGTTAACTTTTTAGAATATGGGCCATAACTCAAGAACCCCTTGGCCAATCAGTGTCAAATTTGTCACAGGGTATCCTTGGCCCAAGGGCTACCATTTTTACTAAAATAAGGGTTGGGACCCTGAATCAAGGGGAGATAATCAGGAAAACAAAACAAAAAGTACTGGTTGCTAAAAAATCTTCTTCTCCAGAACCACCAGGCAGATTTTCACCAAACTTACATACAAGGATCAGGATATGTTGAAGATTAAAAATTGTTCAAGGCATGACCCTGGGGCAAAGGGCGTGGTCTCAAGGTCACTTTAAAGTTGACCTAAATTTACAATTAATAAAAATGTTCATATTTTGCTTACTATAAAGACTAGGATCATCAAATCTTGTAAGTAGATGCATCTTAGGACTTCACATCATGTTAACTCAAAAGTAGGTCACAGTGACCTACTTTTTAAATTTTGCGGGCATTTGTTTTCAAATTGATTTGAAGGCATATTTTGGATACTTTAAGGCCTATGATCATCAAACTTAGTCAGTTGATGCATCTTGGGTCCTTGAACAACGTCAACTTAAAAGTAGGTCACCGTGACCTACTTTTTGAACTTTATGACTTATCCTTTTCAAAACATTTAATCCCATTATTTCAGACACTGAAAGGGTTAGAATCATCAAATCTTGTAAGTTGCTGCATCATGGGACCTTAAAACATATTTAAGAAAAAGTAGGTCACTGTGACCTACTTTTAGAATTTTGCAGGCATTTGTTTTCAAATTGTTTAAAAGGAATATTTTGATTACCTTCAAACCTATGATCATCAAACTTGGTCAGCAGATGCATCTTGGGACTCTGAAAAATGTCGACCAAAATGTAGGTCACGGTGACCTACTTTCAACATTTTATGGCTACATTTAACTATCTTAGGTATATATTGGCTTAGAATCATCAAACTTTGTGAGTTGATGCATCATGGGTTTTCGGAGAGTGACGACCAAAAATTAGGTCACAGTGACCTATTTTCAACATTTTATGGCTATATTTAAGTATCTCCGGTACTTATTGGCTTAGAATCATCAAACTTTGTCAGTTGATGCATCTTGGGGTTTTGGGAGAATGTCGACCAAAAAGTAGGTCATGGTGACCTACTTTTGAATATCTCAGGTATTTATTGGCTTAGAATTATCAAACTTGGTCAGCAGATGCATCTTGGGACTCTAAAAAATGTCAACCAAAATGTAGGTCACAATGACCTACTTTCGACATTTTATGGCTATATTTAAGTATTCTCAGGTACTTATTGGCTTAGAATCATCAAACTGTCAGTTGATGCATCTTGGGTTTTCGGAGAATGTCGACCAAAAAGTAGGTCATGGTGACCTACTTTTTGACATTTTATGGCTATATTTATGTACTGTAAAATCACATATTTTCGTGGGGTCAAATTTTCGTGGTTTGAGGAAAAAATGTTGGTTCGTGGGGATTTGATTTCGTGGATGAAGAACTTTTTAGTAGTTGTGCACATAAAAATTTACATTTCGTGGTGGATATAAATTTGTGGGTCTCTTCTTACCACGAAATCAACGAAAATTAAACTACCACGAAAATTAGTGATTTCACAGTATCTCTAGTACGTATCGATTTAGAATCATCATACTTTGTCAGTTGATGCATCTTGGATTTTCGGAGAATGTCGACCTAAAAGTAGGTGATGGTTACCTACTTTTGAATATCTCAGGTATTTATTGGCTAAGAATTATCAAACTTGGTCAGCAGATGCATCTTGGGACTCTAAAAAATGTCAACCAAAATGTAGGTCAAAATGACCTACTTTCGACATTTTATGGCTATATTTAAGTATCTCTGGTACTTATTGGTTAAGAATCATCATACTTTGTCAGTTGATGCATCTTGGGTTTTCTGAGAATGTTGACCAAAGAGTAGGTCACAGTGACCTACTTTTGAATAACTCAGGTATTTATTGGCTTAGAATTATCAAACTTAGTCAGCAGATGCATCTTGGCACTCTGAAAAATGTCCACTAAAATGTAGGTCACAATGACCTACTTTCTACATTTTATGGCTATATTTAAGTATCTTAGGTATTTATTGGCTTAGAATAATCAAACTTTGTCACTTGAGACATTTTGTGATTTCCAAGAATGTAGTCCAAAAAGTAAATCTAATTGGCTAAGAATCATCAAACTTTGTCAGGTGATGCAACTTGGGTCTTTAATAGGATATTTAGGTTTAGAGGCTTCAAATACAATAGGTTGTACAATTTATCAGAAGAGCGATTCAAGGCCCTTGGGCCTCTTGTTTTGAGGATATTTTGGACGATTTTGCCATTGACCGGCTTTATAAGTCGGTCCAACTTTTTGCCGAAATCGGGTGCCAGTGATCCAAGGATTTTTTTGAGATATTTTATTTCTTTTGTATTCACTTTTGTAAATTTTGAGGTATGATTTTTATTGATCAACAAACTAAACAGATGAATTTAATATTTCAACTTGGTAGTGTTTTGATTTTAGAGTGATTTCCCTTAAGCTTAAAGTTGGAATCATAGGCGGATCTCTATATCTTCGGCATGGTTTTGAACGAATCTGCCATAATTCTGATGTAATTTATGAGAAATTTTATAATTTTGAGGTGCTCAATGTCCAAGCCATGTATTATTAGCAATTATCATTCATTTACCAACATGTACGAGTAAACAATTGATAACTAGATGCTGTCATGAGACAGTAATACCCGCACTAAGGTGTTTGCCTCTAAATGCACACTTCTTCATATTGGGCTTTACCAAAGGAAAAGTCAATATAATTCAATAATTTACATAATACATGTATTCATCAAATTGAGCATAATATGCTCAGGTGACCATGTAGCTGCAGATCTGCAGCGTTATGGTTTTATATATTATTTGACTTTGACCATAACGCTACAGATCCCCATATGCAAAAAAGGTGCAATTTACGGCGCAATATTTTTTGCGCACTCTTGGGCAGTTTTTCTCCACTTTCTAGCATTGGTCAATTAACTACCTAATTCACTCCCTAATTTTAGACACATTCTGTAGCCAGTATGTATATTTTGTCCACCTCCCAGCTATTTAATGATTTATAGTCATCTCTACAGGCAAAAAAACTCGCTTGATGTGAATTTTCAGCAATCTAACAAGTAATTTTAATCAAGCGAGTTTATCACGTGTAGAGACGACTAGAAAAGGATTGGAGATGGATAAAATATACAGATCAGTTAAACAATGTGCCTAGAATTAGGGAGTGAAAGGTAGTAAATTAACCGATGCTGGAAAGTGGAAAAATTCTCCCCAGAAGTGCGCAAAACATATTGCGCCGTAAATTTCACCTTTTTTTGCATTAAAGGGATCTGTAGCTTTATGGTCAAAGACTAATACATGTATATAAAACCATAACGCTACAGATCTGCAGCTAGTGACCATGTGACCCATGGGACTCCATCTTATTGGTATTTCATATTCATAATTGATTACCAGTCGGAAATTAAACAACAGAATTAAATTAATGATGTAAATTAGGTTTGATAAAGGGGGGGGGGGTGGTGTATAAATTTTTGGCACATACTGTATAAGTGGAAATTTTAGCGAAACGCAAATTTAGCGATTTCTACCTAAAATCTTGTATTTTATTTTTAGCGAGAAGTAATTTTAGCGATTTTAAAATGCTAATTCAAGAAGCTTTTACAAATGATAAGCAATTAATTTTCAGTGGTATTCAATTTTAGCGATGTCAGCACCCTCGCTAATAATGCCAAAATTAAATCCTCGCTAAAAATTCTACTTGTACGGTAATTGGAACTTTTTAAATCTATTTTCTAATATAGATTAACAAAAAATTATTTTATTTAAATTAGTGTAAAGCGTTTTTGATGAATTTTTCAAAATGTGCAAAGTTTATTTATATTTGATTAGGCAGAAACTTCTTGAAAGCTGCCATAATTATACACAATCAATTTAGTCAACCCCCACCCCTCTCCCATCAACACACACACACACAAACACACCTTATTTGCCTGTTTTTGGAAATAGGCCTAGATGGCAAAGTTAAAATAAA